ATCACCCCCCTCCCCTCCCCCCCAAAAAAGCCTCGAGGTATGGAAGATTGGGAGTAGAAGCCCTCTCAAATTTATCTCTTGAGGTGATTAACGACAAGTTGAGCAAGCGAGCTCGGCTACGCAAAATATGGATGTGCGTGGGGTGTTACGGTAAAATTGATGATCATGACATAGGATGCAAAAATGAAGGCCCATGGCACAACAACCCGGGGGGGTCAATATCGGTCAACGCTTAATGAGGGGTAAAATAGGCGGTTTACATGTCCATCACTAACTCCTTGGTCTTTTTAATGTTTTTCCAAAAAAAAATCGATTTGCCTCCTGCAAAGTAAGAGAGCTATGACATCTTACTTTCACGCGTTTGGCAGATCCACATGGATGTCTTACATTTGTTTCCATTTTTCACAACAATTCTTTTGACAATGGGTGGAGTCCACCTACCCTAATCCAGGCGCCTTCGGCATGTGAGAATACCGGTTTCTTTTTTTGCATTTGTTCTTTTTAGAACAGACTTAGTCAACTTCCTCCCCGCACCGTCGAGTGGGCAGAGGATTCATTCTTTTTTCACCTCCGTTATTCTGAGAACTGACGGAGTCCACCCCCTCCCCCTTCCTTCTGCAAAGTAGAGGGTATGTTTCCTTTTTCACAACCTTTGTTTCGAGAATGGGAGGGGGCCTCCCCCTGCGTCTTCGGCGGGTCAGAGGATCCATTTCCGTTTTTCATGCACGTTCTTTTGAGAAGATACGGCATAAAAAATAAGATCCGCAATTTATTGAGCACGTAATGATTTTGCTATTCCTAAATCGACCGAGAAAAAACAATAGCAAAATCACCTGTTAAATGCCATCCGATCTAAACACGAGATACATGCAAGTGTAGACGTGTGCGGAAATGTTTTTAACGGTCATTTTTTAGAGAACGGGCTTATTTCCAAGCCACTATACTCCACTTGCAACGAATAAAACCGAACGGGGACACTACGGAACAGCACCGGTGCCTTGGAATAGGAATAGAGTAGACCAGGGGTGCGGCCGGGACCGTACCGCAACGTTTCCCACCCGCGTCCCAAATAAATCCATCCATCCGTCCGGGCGTTACAGCATCGCCCAACCACTCCTCCAGTCCCGTCCTCCCTCTCCCTCTCCCTCTCGAGCGAGCGAGCCAACCAAGGCGACAAAAATCCAAGCTGCAGTGCACGCTCCAGCAATCCGAACCCACCCAACCACCGCACGCTCCGCGGATCCTCCTCGTGCTCCGCTCGCGATCTGCCTCCGCGAGCCCAACCCAACCACCCCTCGCCGGAGATGCGCGCCTGGTGATCCGGCGAGGAGGAGGAGAGGGCCGATGAGGTGCAAGCTCCACCCGTACGCGAACGCGCTCGGCGTATGCGCGCCCTGCCTCCGCGACCGCCTCCTCGTGCTCGCCGCCGAGCGCGACCGGGCCGGGGCCAGCAGCGGCGCTGACTGCAGCAGCAGCAGCAGCCGGGGCAGCTCGCCCACGCGCGGGCGCGCCGCGTCGCCCTTCGCCGCCGCCCCGGCGCAGCAGCACCGGCGCTCCGACGCCTGCGCCTACACGTCGTCCCGCCACAGCCACAGCCACCGCCCCGAGCTCCTCTTCTTCAGCACGCCGCAGGTCGGCCCCGCCACCCGCGCCGCGGACGACGAGCCCCGGGAGACCGAGCGGAAGAAGTCCTTCCAGCGGAGGCGATCCTTCTTGGCAACGCTCTTCGGCGGAGGGCGGCGGGGCAGCCGGGAGGAGGAGAGCGAGAGCAAGAAGGACCCGCCCCGGCGGTCCACCTCGTGGCTGTCGGCCATAGTCCGGCGCAAGCGGAGGCCGGACGCGTCGTCGTCGTCATCGCTGCCGCGGCCGGTGGACGAGGAGCCCGAGTCCCCAGGAGGCAGCATGAGCGGCAGCTGGTGGTTCCCATCGCCCTCCCCGGCCAGGCACCATCACCACCCCCAGCGGCGCAGCAGGCCCAGCGGATCAGGCGCCAGCGGCGACGGGATCTCGGGGTTCGCGGTGTGCCTGAGCCCGCTGGTCCGCCCCAGCACGGGCGGTCGCCGGCGGTGCCAGCAGCCGGACCCGTCGACCCTGGGCGAGAGCCACCGGCGGCACCTGTCGGCCAGCAGCGCGGCGTCCTTCGGGCGCAACACCTCCCGGAAGCTGGCCGACATGGGCAGGTTCCGGTGACGTGGCGGCCGCTCCGGCCGGCAAACCGCCTCCTCTTTTCCCCCGTCAGAAATCGTCACCTTGTCCTCCCGCAAAATTTGACCTTTTGCTGATGCCGTGCGCTGTCTACTCGCTGAGAGACGAGAGAAAGATAATCAAATGAAGTTGTTTTGTTTTTCAGTTTCTTGTTTGAACGGGAGCTGCGCTGTTCAGCTGCGGTAGCTTTGTGTGAATTACGACGAGACGACCTGGGCGGCCAGGCCCAGCTCACAGGTCACCTCATTTCTTTTGTTTGAACGTGTGTTCTCTGACATCTGACACCTACGACTTCAATTTTGTTCCGCTCTGCCCTCCCATTTATTTACGTGCGGCTGTATTGCTTCGAGAGCCCGTGCCTGTGTTTTTCCATTCATGTTTCGAATTCTCGGGAGGTGGAAGACGACTGTTAGCGGCATTGTTTAGCTGCCTGTGCTACGAGTAAGAAGAAGAAGAAGCTTCTCCCGGTCCCGGGCAATGCGTGTGTCAGTCAGTATGTTTTACTAGTATTGTTATTATATAAAAAAAAAGATGAATAAAGCCTTGTACTGGACATTGGCAAGGCGAGGGCAATGATTAGCTTAGCAGGATACGCGTCCCTTGGGAACTGAGATTGCATCGAGCTCGAGTGAGAGAAGCTGGACTGCTGGAGAGGGTGAGATGATGAAGGCGCGCGCACGCGCTGCCGGCGGTGCGATCATGCGCATACATAAAGGATAAACAGGATGAAACGGAAAGCAATGGGCGCATCACATCACCATTAGGATGATAATGCGATGCGACGCCATGGCTTGTGGTAACAAAAGGAAAACGCATATCCCTTCTCCTCCTCGACGTGGCTCCCCTGGCTACAACGACGTCCTCTGTGCTTCCCGTCTACCCACGTACTAGCACTATTACTACGACATTGTGTGCGTGTGTGCGCGCGCGCTCCGGTCATCTAGGCAGCACAAAACACCACAAAAGCGGGGGCGCCTCTTTCCTCGCGGCCAAGACTGCAAATTCCCACGCCCTTCTCTGTTTGTTCGATCGGACAGCCGATGCCAAAAAGAGCCCGTAGAGCAGAGCACGCGGCCATGGCCTAGGAGCAAGGTCCCCGATTCCTACTCATCACAAAACTACAGCTAGACCACTCCAGTAAAAAGAGACCAACCAAGCGCATCACAGCACCACTCAAGTGCTATCTTACACTACGATAATACTGCTGCAGCAACGAGTAAAAAATAAACGCAAATGCTAACTGGCAAATGTTTGCTGGGAAGGAACTCCCAACGAACGCCCTCGCAGCAGTTTTGGGAAAAGAAATTGTCTTCTGTATGAAGAAATTGTCATGCTAGTCTCAAGAAATTGCCACCCCGGCCCTACAACTCAGAATAAATAGATTCAGGCAGCACAACAACAAGCATAGCTACCAGCAAACAGTCAATAATCCCAACCGTTCAAGCAAAAAGAGAATAACCAAAACCATGAGACCCATCCATGTCTGCCGACTACTTCACGGTAAAAAAAAAATAGACGACCGTTTCACCAAAGATACGCCAGCATCCGAACGCAAAAGATAGATGACCCGGCCATCAAGTACTCCCTCCGTGCGGAAATACTCGTCGGAGAAATGAATGTATCTAGACATACTTTAGTTTTTGATACATCCATTTTTATCAATTTCTCCGACAAGTATTTTGAGACGGAGGGAGTATATGTTTACGCTTTCCCTCTGGAGAATGCGAACATATTCTTTTTTTTTTGAAAAAAAAACCCCCCTATATTAATTAATTAATTAATAATGTTATTACAATCTTTCATTACAAAATTCGCCACGCAGGGCGGAACACTATTAAGAAGAATCCCATCAGATTTATTTATAAAGCTAAACTTCGCAATTTCGTGCGCCACCTTATTGGCGTGCCGATTAATTTTCGCAATTTTAAAATTCTTGAGCATCGAATATACTCAAGGCTTACAACAACAACAACAACAACAACAAAGCCTTTAGTCCCAAACAAGTTGGGGTAGGCTAGAGGTGAAACCCATAAGATCTCGCAACCAACTCATGGCTCTGGCACATGGATAGCAAGCTTCCACGCACCCCTGTCCATAGCTAGCTCTTTGTCGATACTCCAATCCTTCAGGTCTCTCTTAACGGACTCCTCCCATGTTAAAATCGATCGACCCCGCCCTCTCTTGACATTCTCCGCACGCTTTAGCCGTCCGCTATGCACTGGAGCTTCTGGAGGCCTGCGCTGAATATGCCCAAACCATCTCAAACGATGTTGGACAAGCTTCTCCTCAATTGGTGCTATCCCAACTCTATCTCGTATATCATCATTCCGGACTCGATCCTTCCTCGTGTGGCCACACATCCATCTTAACATACGCATCTCCGCCACATCTAACTGTTGAACATGTCGCCTTTTAGTCGGCCAACACTCCGCGCCATACAGCATTGCGGGTCGAACCGCCGTCCTGTAGAACTTGCCTTTTAGCTTTTGTGGCACTCTCTTGTCACAGAGAATGCCAGAAGCTTGGCGCCACTTCATCCATCCGGCTTTGATTCGATGGTTCACATCTTCATCAATACCCCCATCCTCCTGCAACATTGACCCCAAATACCGAAAGGTGTCCTTCCGAGGTACCACCTGGCCATCAAGGCTAACCTCCTCCTCCTCATAGCTAGTAGTACTGAAACCGCACATCATGTACTCGGTTTTAGTTCTACTAAGCCTAAACCCTTTCGATTCCAAGGTTTGTCTCCATAACTCTAACTTCCTATTTACCCCCGTCCGACTATCGTCAACTAGCACCACATCATCCGCAAAGAGCATACACCATGGGATATCTCCTTGTATACCCCTTGTGACCTCATCCATCACCAATGCAAAAAGATAAGGGCTCAAAGCTGACCCCTGATGCAGTCCTATCTTAATCGGGAAGTCATCGGTGTTGACATCACTTGTTCGAACACTTGTCACAACATTATTGTACATGTCCTTGATGAGGGTAATGTACTTTGCTGGGACTTTGTGTTTCTCCAAGTCCCACCACATGACATTCCGCGGTATCTTATCATAGGCCTTCTCCAAGTCAATGAACACCATATGCAAGTCCTTCTTATGCTCCCTATATCTCTCCATAAGTTGTCGTACCAAGAAAATGGCTTCCATGGTCGACCTCCCAGGCATGAAACCAAACTGATTTTTGGTCACGCTTGTCATTCTTCTTAAGCGGTGCTCAATGACTCTCTCCCATAGCTTCATTGTATGGCTCATCAGCTTAATTCAACGGTAATTAGTACAACTCTGAACATCCCCCTTGTTCTTGAAGATTGGTACTAATATACTCCGTCTCCATTCTTCTGGCATCTTGTTTGCCCGAAAAATGAGGTTGAAAAGCTTGGTTAGCCATACTATCGCTATGTCCCCGAGACCTTTCCACACCTCAATGGGGATACAATCAGGGCCCATCGCCTTGCCTCCTTTCATCCTTTTTAAAGCCTCCTTCACCTCAGACTCCTGGATGCGCCGCACAAAACGCATGCTGGTCTCATCAAAGGAGTCATTCAGTTCAATGGTAGAACTCTCATTCTCCCCATTGAACAGCTTGTCGAAGTACTCCCGCCATCTATGCTTAATCTCTTCGTCCTTCACTAAGAGTTGGCCTGCTCCGTCCTTGATGCATTTGACTTGGCCAATATCCCTCGTCTTCCTCTCCCGGATCTTAGCCATCTTATAGATGTCCCTTTCACCTTCCTTCGTGCCTAACCGTTGGTAGAGGTCCTCATATGCCCGACCCCTTGCTTCACCAACAGCTCGCTTTGCAGCCTTCTTCGCCATCTTGTACTTCTCTATGTTGTCTGCACTCCTATCCAGGTATAGGCGTCTGAAGCAATCTTTCTTCTCTTTAAGCGCCTTCTGGACATCATCATTCCACCACCAGGTATCCTTATCTTCGCTTCTCCTTCCCCTGGACACTCCAAACTCCTCCGAGGCCACCTTACGAATGCAAGTCGCCATCTTCATCCACACATTGTCCGCATCCCCTCCTTCCTCCCAAGGGCCCTCCTTAAATACCCTCTCCTTGAACACCTGAGCTACCTCCCCCTTGAGCTTCCATCACTTCGTTCTAGCGACCTTGGCCCGCTTATCCCGCTGGACACGAATCCGAAAGTGGAAGTCAGCAACCACCAGCTTATGCTGGGGTACAACACTCTCCCCAGGTATCACCTTACAGTCTAGGCACGCACGCCTATCTTCTCTTCTCGGGAGGATGAAATCAATCTGGCTAGAGTGTTGGCCACTACTAAAAGTCACCAGATGTGATTCTCTCTTTCTAAAGAGGGTGTTAGCTACAATCATGTTGTAGGCTAGAGCAAAGCTTAAGACATCTTCTCCTTCTTGATTCCTGATGCCATAGCCAAAGCCCTCATGCGCCCCTTCAATATACTCAAGGCTTCTTTCTTCATATTCAAAAGCATATGTGTGAAGTGCGTGGTGTGTTCTCTACGCCCTTCCCCCAAAATGTCCTTGTCAGGAAATCAGTGGGAAGGGAAATGCCCGGCAACTCGCTCATCTTGCTAGGGCCTTTATTTCCTTTCAGTATTGTTATACTACTAACAAGGCGCATAAGTCAACTGCGCAGTGCAGACAGTGTGCACTGGGCATGCAGCAAACGCAACGGCCAGGTGCTCAGCTTTTCGGCGCTGAAAGAAACTTCCATCCACCACAAGAGGGCCTACCGTGAAACAACCGCTAGTGGCCGGTGCTCGATGGCCGGCATGCCGGGCAATGGAGCTTGCTCCTCCATTCTTATGGACTACCCAGTGTGAAAATCATTCGCCCAAAAGATCACAGACAAATGAAATACTCTATTAAAGGAATATTAATTAATTAAACAGAAGACTGAAATGAAATGAACAGAAGCAGGCATCTTCTTTGTCAAAAGGAATATAATAGCGGCTGATTGCCATCTTTCCACACGGGGAACCACCC